TTATTTATGTACTGGTTTGGTTTCTTTAGATAGTTTTATGTTAATTCATGGGTTACACTAAAATGGGGGATGATTGTTGGTGATTTTAGTGTCACCCGACATTTTGTATAATTAGAACTGACATGTGAGCTAAGAGACTTATCGTTTATACTTTATGTTATATGTTTGATGAATGCGGAGGGCTTGCATATATAAGATCGAATTATAAGCCGATACGACAGAATGACAGGGGTCAAGGGGGCCGCGCCCCCTTGCAGGGTCCTAGGAGCACCGCCGCTAGCGGGGTCCAAGGGGCAGAGCCCCTGGAGGTAATTATGGTAAGATTGAATTAGTTTCTTTATGAAAAATCCGAATTCTAGTGGGTGATTATGGAAGATTGCAAAATCTTGTCAGTTTTCGTAACCATTTATTATGCCATTAATTTCGAGATTTGCATAACTAATTTAGAAGATTAACCCTAATATGTTATGTATTTATACAACTCTTCTTTTGAGCTGTAAACAAAACATTTTTCTCAGCTCTTTTCTTTCTAAAAGATCTCATAATTCTGTAAAGATTTAATTTGTGTTTCTGTGCCTAGATATACAAGTGTCATTTTGGATTATTTTAGACTAGATTTCCTATGACCCAAGTATAGGATGGAAATATCTGTTCGGAATGTGAAAATACACGATCCATAAGGAATCCATATTTCCACCATCACCCTACTCAAATATCCTCCAACATAAGTAATGTTGCACAACCATATAAAAATGATATATGGACTCTAGATTTTTTAGTATTTTTTCAGTTCGCTACAATGAAAACATTGTCACCGTAAACAGCCAACGTCACCACTTAACATATCCTCTTGATTATTCATTAATACTCAAAACTAAAATAAATATTTATACTAAACATTACTTCCTTCGTAAGAAAGTAAAAGATGTTGAATATTAATGCGCCAACGAGACCATTAAAATAGCATATAAATTAGCTTATAACTAAAAGTTAGATTTTCATATAACATGCCAAACATAAATTTAGATTCCAAGGGGGGAGCACTTGGTCGGGGAAGTATCTTTCATAAATAAATTTAGGGTTCGATCATAGTTGCCATGGTTTGGTAAATAATTATAAAAGCTACAAACTACAAATCTTAGTTGATTTCACTACTATTATCTAATTTATCTCAAACGAGAACCTCGAAGACATAATCCTCCAGTCTAGGCGGATTTCTTTTTTCTAGGTTTTATTGCCAAAAAAAAACGCGGTGGTAATTTTCCCAAATACCTTTCTGTCCCACTCTTGATACCGCCCTTTTTGGAATCTAAAGCATCGCATGATCATTGACAGCATAAATTTTCCAGCTTCATCTATATCACCACCAGATCTAAGGTGTTTTGGATAATCAACCTCTTTTACTTCCTAACAACGGAATTAATTGTTATTACGGATAATTTATTATTCTTAAGTATTAATGAATTTGCAAGAGGACATGTTAAGTCGGACTTGACATGGGTTTGTTACTTTGTTTATGGTGATAAAGTTTTCGTTAGTGTCTTGGCAACATCTACACTGCCCGGAGTGTTTGTATAAGCTAAATGGCGATGACTTAAAACATCATCACCCGTGGTTACAATGTTTAATTTACACTGTTTTCCTGCCACCGATGCCAATTGCAGCAACCACAACTCTCATACTGCGGTGTTTATGGTGCCCTTCGCTACCATTCCCTTCACATTTGATCTCGTTTACAGTTGGTCCACGACTTAAATCCCAATTTGACCATCAAAATAATGAGGGTGAAGGAGCATGTGGGTCACTTGGGAGTTGTCATTCAAACCAAATGAGATTGTAGAATATACGAGTGCAGGAGGATACTACTTATGATTGGTTCGATAATGGTGACAGAAGGTTTTATATCCGACAGGCACAATGTAGTTGACGAGGGTAACAAAACGGAACCAGAAGACGAAAGGAGGGCGGCTGAAGGCGATGACATCATTCAGGGAAGAAGGTAAATTGATTTTTTTAAATAAAAAATATTTTTTCTAAATAACTTCTAAAGGACAAGACCGTAAAAAATTTAAAAGTAATAACTATTTGGTAAAAATATGAAGCTCTGACACCTAAAACTTAAAAACAAAGAAAGAATATCAAAGAGTGATGTTAGACATATATATATCCTGGATTCTCGGTAGCATGGAATTCGTGCTTATATATTAATGTAAATAAAACCTAGAGATGGATTTACTATATTTAATCTAATATAGATTGATTTTCTTAAAATAAAAAAAAAATAATAATAATAAAAAGGAAAGAAGCAAGAATCTTTTCTTACCAGCATGTTTAGAGAGATGATGATTTTCAAGAGCTTCCCATTTCACAAATTGCTCACCACATTTATGACAAGCCAAGCTAAATATCCCATGGCCTTCACCTTCAAAAGAAGCTCTAGCCTTTGAAGCATTAATAGCACCAAATCCAGAGCCTAAACCTCTACTAGCCCTTGAAAATCCATTAGAGTTTCTTCGATTAGTCATCGGTGAGCTTGTTAGCTTGTGATGATGATGATAATGGTGAGGGCCAGGCGTCCCAGGTTTTAGGGTACCCTCAAATGGTGAGGACACGCTCTCACCATCACCACCAACACCGTTTCCATCTTGCAAAGAACCAAAGCCTGTGATCTTCAGTTCACAATTTGAATTCGACAAAACAACTTCATGGGCAATTGGGTTTAAAAGTTCTGAACTTCCAATGGACCTAGGACTAGCATTTGTTGTTGTGGTTGCCATTGTTGATGGTTTTTCCTCCATGTGTCTCTTGCTTCCATGGATGACATCCTTAAGATTTGCTAAAGATCTTGAACACCCTGATTTCCCTCCTGTTGATGTTGATGATTTTTTTGTTTTCGTTACTATTTTGCTAAGATTCTTCCCCTGAAAATTTGGATCATGAACATCTGCAGGTCCTGATTGGCAGTGCAATGACTTCCTTAACGCAAACCAAACAGCAGGCATCTCTATGTGTGTATGTATTTGGTCTTCAGGAAAGTTAAGGTTTCAGACTTAATTTGTAGACAAATCAAAACCATATGAGACCCATCTATGATCGGTTGCACTTCATGACATAGAAAAAGTCTACTCTTTGACCTAATCTATATAAGCAACCCATGGCATATATATATATATATATATATATATATATATATATAATATATATATATATATATCCACACCTGTGAGACCCATGTATTAAATGTGTTAATTTAAAAAAGTAAAGTTAAATATTAAGCTCTAAATATCTAAGAACTTTCGACTTAATACAAATAAAAAAAATAATGAATTATTAAAATTGAAATGTTTTTTTTATTCTTTAAATTTAAACACATAATTTAAATAAATAAACAAAAGAATCTAATCAACTTTATTTTGAAAAATTTGAAATTAGAAGTTAGGTCCAATAATGAAATTGATATCCATTTATTATTACATTAAAAATATTATATGAAATTTAATAAAATAAGAAAACCCATAAAATGACATGTGAAAAAAATTAATTTTTAATCACTACAAAATTACATTTAGCAAATTGAATGAGAGTGTGATATGTGACAAAAAATCTTCATTTATTAGAGTAACTAGATTATGACCCGCGTAAAACGCGGGGAACGTATAAAAAAATACATATAAGTCATAAAAAAATGATACAATAATTTAAAAAAAAAAGATAAAATAACAAAAACAAACTTCGCGTTATTGATTATATTGAAAAGTTGAAAAAATAAAATGAAATGTCTGGATATCTGATATCGTTGAAGGACCTCTTTACAGACAATATTTTTTTTAATAAATGACAGTAATATTCAGTATGGTTCCTGTTTTTTCAAAAGTAATAAAAGTAAATAGCAATGTACTTTGAAAGTTTATTGTTATAAGTTGTAAAGTTGTTTTTTGTAAAGTTGTAAAGTTTTTTCTTAAGTAACATAATTTACAGCAATGTACTTTCAAAGTACATTGTTATATAGTGTCCTAGTGTTTTTTTAAAACTTAACATAAATTGTCCCTATTAACATATTAAAAGTAAACAAAATGTATATTGATATCATTTAAAAATTCATTCATTTTTTTAAATGTTAATAACATGTTAAAAGTAAACAACAATGTAGTTTATATATATATATATATATATATATAATATATATATATATTAATATATATATATATGACATAGGAAGCTATTCAAAACTATTCAATCAAATAATAACCTACTGACTAAACAACTGTAATATATATATATATATATATATATATAGATATATATATATATATATATTATAATATTATATATATATATATAGAAAAATGAAATATTATAAAAATATCAACATGGGTTTTGCTTGTAGACAAAAAATAATAAACCATAGCTTTACTAACATTAGATTCAGTCTCAATATCATCTTTTCCAATCATCTCAAAAAAAATTAACAGAAAAGCCATTGACTTCACAACATTTTCAGTCTCAAAATCATCTTTTTCAATGATCCATGAAGAACTCCAAGTATCATCCCAACATTTTCAAGTGACCATCGTGTTTCATATCATGGAATGGAATGGAATCATAAACGAATGGAATAAGAAAAGGTAATGAGGAAAGGTAATAGACTCACCATATCACCTTTTGAGATGCTTCCAACAAACAGTAGCAAGACGGAATCGGAAACAACAGTCGCATCCTGGATAAAAACAGAGTTCGCTTTAATCTTTTCATTAAATACCAACCACGAGAATGGAATTCTCAAATCCTTGGAATTAACCGAGTTCTATAGCAATAAAAAAAAACAAATTCATATTATAAAAATAAAAATATATATATAATATTAAAAAAAGTATTAGAATTTAGATAAACGAACCTACCGAGTGTAAAAGAACCTGACCATCCTCCATGGTTTTCAGCGAGAATGACTTTTTGTTATGCTGATGTCAGCAAAAGCAAGTTATCATTTATAAAGAAATTAATTAAAAAAAACTTACGATAACGGAGGAAATTCTGGGATACAAGCCGTAGCAGATAACTGCATGAATGAGATTTTTGTCATAACTCCAAACATTGAAAATGACCATATTACCCTCGACAAGACCAGTATCTTTAAGCAAAGATAAAAACGCTCTTTGTCACACCCCCAAACCGGAATGACGGAAACGTTCGAGGGCGGAGGACGTCATGTTTAGTATCACAACACATGCATCATAGTAATCATAGCAACAAACAACCATTGCATTAATATTAAAGTGTTTACAAAGTATGTGGTTCACAAAAGATAGACTCCAAAAGTAAATAACAAAACAAGACATGAAGCTACTATGCTCCATCTTTTGAATCCCAGTGCGCGTACCTGTCTACTAGTTTCCTGAGAATACAAGTTATTTTGAAAGAGTAGATCAACATTTAAGCTGGTGAGTTCATAAGTATTTTAGTGATGTAAAGTAAGTTGTAAGTTCCTTTAGAAAAGTTCGCATGTTCCTCCAGAAAATTCTATATTTTCTGATATGATGAAAGATAAGTAAAAATGGCTCTACAATCCCTTCTATGAGTACCAAATGGATACAAGTTATATAAAACCCAGAGTAAACAGACAATCGATTGTGTGAATTTGCCCTAAGCCCACAACCAAACAAGGAACATGAAATGAGGCGGAAGTCACACATCCCATTGTTTGTTAGATCTTCGTTGTATATAACCTTGGCATATTCATTTGATACTCACGGAGTTAACTGTAATAGTTCCTTTATATTTGATGAAAAGATTCTTTACGAAAAACCCATATTTCCTTTAGTAAAAATGGTAACCACAATAGTTCCTTCTATAATCACTTAGTTTATACTAGCTATATATAGCCTAATATCGAACAGACAATTAACTGGGTGAATCTGCCCTAAGCCCACAACCAAACAAGGAATAGGAAGTAAGGCGGAAAGCACACATCCAACTACTTATATGATATTAATTATATATAACCCTGTTGTATAAACTAAGGTATTATAGAATTAACCATTAAAGGTCCTTTAAGTTATACTGGTTTAATAAAATGGATTAAACCCTTTTACGGATAAGTTTCTAGTTTTTTCTACCAAATGTTCTATTTGAAAAGTATGTTTTGTACTAGAAAACAGTTTACTGAATTTGTATGCTATGACCTAACCCGTACTTGTTACTCCTTATGATTACTTGGTGTATACAGAATATATATCTAGCTAAGATCGAATAGATAGTAGATTGTGTGAATCTGCTCTAAGCCTACAACCAAACAAGGAACATGAAATGAAGCGGAAAGCACACATCCTACTGCCTGTCAGATCCAATTAATATATATCCTTGATGCATCCATCAAGGAATCATAAAGTTAGCATTATAGGCCCCTTCTAACTGAATGTACTAAGACTCGACTGTTCTGTTTGTCATTTGTAATGATGTAAGTTTTCCCTAGTTTATAACTATCTTTACTAGAATATAGTTTGCATTACCTTTTATGTGAGAATATCACTATATGAATGTAATGGGAAAATGAAAGTATACAATAGTATTGTATAAAATAGCTACTGAAGTACTGACTACCTTAAAACCAGTTTGTAAATTAAGGTTTAAAATGTGATGAGGTTATAACCATACTCGATTTGACTAGTATAAAACACGACGCTCGAAAGACATCGAAAATGGTATGACATTTGTCACCCGTAGACTTGCAAGTCCTACTGTAGCTACCAGCAAGGTGTGGGGTGTCAATCCTGTATAGATCTATACACAAACTCACGCTCTCCCTCCAGGAGACTCTGGTTACAAAACGCGACATAACAAGTGTATTGCTAAGCCGTGAAGTAGTGGTTTCACATTATTGTTATCTTGTTCTTGTTATAGTATGTTCCTCCCTGAACTTGTTATAGTATGTTCCTCCCTGTACTAGTTATAGTATGTTCCTCCCTGTACTAATTATAGTATGTTCCTCCCTGAACTTGTTATAGTATGAACTGAAACCCTAAACTATACCCATTATTGTTTACTAGTGTGTTTACTTGAACTGTATCTGATTTGAAGAAAAGACTCGATTATCCACTGAGTTATAATTGTACTTTAAAAACAGAGTTTTATAAACAATAAAGTAACATAACTTTAAAAGAGTTTTTGAAATGATTTGATCACTTATAAACACATAAGCAATCCTTTAAAATGATGTTTATCACAAATAACATTTACACAATATTCATTGTGTTCAACTTGTATTCCCCCCCTTAAAAACATTTAAAAAATTGATTATAGGGGTATGAACACACCTTATGTGGGTGATTCAATTGAAGATTCGCGTAAGGATGAGAAGTTCCGAGACACAAACGAGTCCAAATAAGTGCTAGAAGCAAGTTAGTAGATTAAAGGAGTGTTCACGGCCCTATGGTGTGATCACGGACCAAGAACACATGAAGTGTTCACGACCCAACAAGGTTCACGGCCCAAGATGATGGGTGGTTCACGGCACAAGATGATGGTTCACGACCCAACTTGATGTTCACGGCCCAAAGGTGAGTGGTTCACGACCCAAAAAGATGAAGAACACTTGAAGATCTTTGTGTTTTGGCTAGTGTTTGAAGATCCTAAGTTGTATTCTAAGGAGATACAAAGGAAAGAGGGTGAAAAGAGTGAAAATGGTGTTCTTGAACTATGATACTTTGAGAGAGAAATGGAGTGTTTGCGGCCAAGGGTTGAGAAATGAGGAATACATGGAAGAAAGGTATATATATGGGAGGGGTTCACGGCCACCCTTGGGTTCACGGCCATGAACACCCTTTGATGGGTTTCCGGATCGATTTCATTCCTCTAATCCTAAGTTAACACTTCTCAACATCCAATCCATAAGTGTACTGGGCTTAGAACTCATTAGAATGAGCCTTAACAAGGCTAAAAGGCAATAGAAACTAGTCTAACTTTTGGTTTATTGGATTGACTTACTAGGTAGAAATTTTCGGGTTGT